GGGGGGGAGGCGCACCTCCGGCACGCGCAGATTCAGCGGAATGCGCTGTCGCGCCGTATGCGCGACACGCCGGAACGGACGCACGTGGCCTGTCAGCTGGCAACAAAGTGTTGTTGAAAGAAAGAAGTGCGTTGGAGGAAAACGTAGTTGATTGCCACAGGAGCTCCACATTGCCCACATATCACTTATCACGACGACTCTTTTTCGGGATTCTGTTTCTTTATTGTTAACTGTAAAAGATGAAACGATTTTAATAGACGTCAATGCGATAAAATTATTGTTTATTTTGATCCAATTTGTGAATGAATGTTCAATGTTTATATTGATGTTGATAATCAAATAATTACATGTAATATGACTGTAAAGCATACATTCATTAAATATGTTTCTTCTTACCAATCAAGCTTACCCTTCAACCAATACTTCAATCATTGAAGTATAAAAAAAATCTTTGAAAATAGGAAATTCATTTATTTCATTTTGAAAATCCTAATTCTGGAGAGTCATTTCTGATTATATACGCAGTCATTTGTCATATTTTCTTTCCCCCTTGAATAGTTGCATAAACTCTCTTCCTTAGCTCAGTTTGATGAGCCTGGTTAGAATCTCAGCAACATCCTTTTTAATAAGTATGGTTCATCAACAAATACTCACAATCCATAATAACTAGGCTTTCTTTGACTTTACAAACAAGTCTATGAATCTCTGAGAATGTTCTATTCTTGTAAATTACTAGATCTTTAATACTTTCTTAATAAGTATTGATTCATACAAATATTTTTCTTCCTTTTCAACCACCTATTTTTGTTTCTATTGTTACAAGTACTCATAACCTGTTTTCCTGAATAAACATTACAAAGTAACGCCACCTTCTCTCGCTGTCACTTAGTGAAATTAGTCATTTCATTTTCGCCGAGTTGTTTTATAACTTTTTAAGCTTTCTGCGCGCTAATATTGTCAAAGCAGTCCTTAATTTCAAGAAGCCATGCAAGGCTTTTTTCTATACCAACAGTTTTCTTTCCTTTCACACTTATTTGGTACTATTGCTTCTTGTCCTCTGTGAGATGTTTACCAAGTCAGATGTTGTAAGGTTGTTCTCCCCCACTTCCCCACAATAAATTTCACCAGTTTTGCATTACCCAAACCACAATGCTTCATGAATTTGCTTCAATTATTGGAAATGTTTTGGATGTAGTTGTTTCTATAAATATTTTCACTTTGCAGATAACATCTTTTGTGTATTGGTGTGGTACTGTTTTCGTTCAAAAATCCCAGTTGGACTGAGAAATGTTCATGTTGCCGTTACTTTAAATTAGAATAGTCGAGATACATTCAGCATCTGTATAAACTCCAGTGTCTTTTTTTATTGTAGCTTACTACTTTCAATTAGATTAAGAAATTATGTTCTTTGTGTCAATGTTTTGTTATTTTAGGAAATTGAAATATGAAAATGAGTTATTTTGAGGAACTTGTGTAAGATATTTTAATTGTGTAGTGTCTTTAGATTATGAAAATACAATTTAAATGTATGAATGTACTGTCTATCGAGGTGTGTTCAGTAGCAGAAACGTTTACATAGAATGGAGGCTAGTGTTCTTATAATTTTGGGAGTTAACCATCTCTATGAATTCTTTGTTATATGCAGTTGAGAGGTCTTACTTTATCAACCCTTTTACTCTGAATTAATGGTTCAGAACGTCGAGAAATTAAAATAAAAATGTGTGTAGCATGTCTCTTGAATTTGGCACATATTTTTGCTTCTGTCATTAACTTATCAATGTGCAGAAAAACGTATGGGTATTATAGTGACTCCTAAACACTTGAAAACAGTCATTCGATATTTTTATCTCTGCCACATCTAGAGTCACCCGCCACCACCACTTTGTTTGATAACAGAAGAGAGAAGGAGAAAAGAAAAATAGGTGTCGGGTGTTTAGGTTACTCTGACGGTAACTTACTGAAGTGTTGATGTAATTACATTTTCTAATGAAATGTGCTTTTCTCGTCACGGTGTTCCAGTAGACGTAACAGGCCATTGCCTCGACGCTTTCTGGGTTTTCTCAGGATAATGTATAGACAGCAAACCAATATTGCCACGTTGACTGCATGATGTGCACTTAGTTGCCTATGAACTCATCCAAGATAGAGGATGCATACTAACCATACCGTTTGAGTAACTAGATTATATAGGGATGAGTTTTTTTGTGAGAAGGATCTTCGTACAAGGGATGGATTTGTGAAGTAGGAATGTTGTTCAGAAGGGTGTGATCTTGTTTCAGAAAAGGTTGTTGCTGGGAAGTACAAGTGGTGCACCCCCATATGGAGTGACCACGAGAAGTTACCACAGAATTATTTCTTTATAAAATGTAAATATTAGAGTAATAGTTCATCACATCTTCATTTACGTGCATGAATTTAGAGGTGTCTTAGGATTATTGTGGGATTAGGATTACCTGAAGACGGGATCCGGGATGAGTGAAAGGAGACCGCCGCCGCCACACCGTCACCAAAACACGAGAGAAGACTTCAACTTTTATTTTTAACGGAGGAGTAACAAATGAAACTCAACAAGATGGCCGTCGGCGCGATCGTCCGGCGCAGGCACACGACGGCGACGGGGCGGCGGCGGCGGCGGCGGCGGCGACGGAGGCGGGGCCGACAGCGAGGGCGGAGCCGGACGGCATCTACTTGTAGCCATGCGTCCTGTGGACACCACACGCTCCTCGCTAGCACTCAAACACGCATACACGCGCCATTTTTTTTTATTTTGTCTCAGCTCGCTGTGCGCACAATTTGTCACTTGGGGCAAGGAGACTGGAAGAACTTCGAACCAAGAGGAGGAAGTATGAAAAAGCTTCTTGCATGCGTCAGACGTTTGGTGACCTTGCATAGTGGAGCAAGGGAACCGCTACCTTTAGCTACCTCGTCTGCGGTTAGTGGTATTTAATATTCTGTGCTGAATTCTGCTAAATCTTTTACGCTTACGGCCCAAGTTTTCGGAATAGTTACTCAGCAACCGGGCTGCCACGAGTCACGCAAACTCGCGGACCGCATGGCCGTGCGTAGCATAAGATTTCGTAAAACTACGTCACTCAGGTCTCTAAACGTCTGACGCCAGCAACCTATAAGACCGATCCCTATAAGTCAGAGATTTCGAGATGTTTGATAAACGAAAGTTTCTACTACGAAACAACACTGTTATTGCGGCCTTTAGCAATCATGCGTTTTAATTTATATGAATCTTATTACCGTGACAATATTTTTAACACAATTGCTGCCATAAAAGTGAATATCGATATTTGTAAAGCCCACAAAAAGGATCTTAATCAGTCAACTGATCAGTTGAAATAAAAACAGGATTGATGCCGACTGTGTCAAGCAGTAGTCGAGCTCTTCGGATCCGCGGGCTTTGCAAATTGATGTCATTCGTATAGTAATGGTCCAAAATATGTCAAATGTCTTAATTCATCCGGGCTTGAAAGGAAATAAAAGTACTTTGAAAATGAAACCCATGACACTGAATTTGAGAATCAGAGTTTACTAATGTTTATTCCGTGTCAGCAAGAGTCACAGCAAGAGGTACAACGTTGCAGACTCGACAACAATAGAATCAACACGTTTCGCAGATTAATCGTTCTCTTGAGTTCGAAATTTTTCTTTAGTCTCCTTGTTTTGTACAACAATGTCGCTGCCTTTCAGGCGCGCACGGGAATTCCCATGAAAGCGTCATGGCACTTCCACTCGTAGTTCCTTTCAGGAAAGGAAGACGAAAAAAGATAGAAATTCAGAATTTTCGTGTTTTCAACGAAGAAAGCTACGGACCATAATGCAAAGGCTTACGAGTAGCTCTTCTCCGATGTAAAACTCGAAATTGCAATGGTTTTGTTTTGTTTTCAAACTCTTCAGTTCTCAAAAAATTCGAACTAATTATTAAAGTGAGCTAAGTATGGTGTTTTTATTACGTTAAAAAATGTTTTGCAGTACGAATAATTCAAAAAGCGAATATTTGCTTAAAGACAATATACGATAATATATTATTGATGATTTTCGGCGTCCCTTCCTGAACAAACCGGATTCTCTCACATCGATTGTGAGAGAAGCAAGTGGCAGAAGTTGCATGAATTTAAGTTCTATACATAGTATTACATTGTTCAAGAAATATCCATTTTTCTTTGAGATGTGTTTTTCAGTCGTATACATTAAATTACTCGTGTTTGCGACATTTCAATAAATCTTCAAGAAATCGGATTGATAACTCAAATTAATTTCGAAATAATTGTATGTCTTTGTACAATCTCCATCACAGAGGACGTACCCATTCATCACTCATGAACTGCATTTAATAGCATGTATGATATAGGAAACTGAACTTTTCAGAAATGTAACTAGCGTGAATTCAGAAAACATTTTGTTTCCACCATTATTTCCATAAACGTTTCTTTGTATACTTCATCACATATCTCAATGCGTGAGGACGTAAATGTATCTTCGAGAACTTCTGTCCAGAAAAAACACGATGACCACGATAAAACGAGTGTGTATTAAAAAAACTACATTATTAAAATAATTTTAATTTACATGTTTTTGAGAAAATGAGAATAAAAATTCCAAAGGCAATACTTACATTATAATTGATAGCTTCAAAACGTTTCACTTCCTTTTAATATTACAACCTTCTTTATAACGTAGTATGTTAATTCTTGATTAACTACTAGTAGTATAAAGTACTGAGTAACTGAAAGCTGTTTCTTGCATTGAAAGTGTACCGATTATGGCAATGACGATTGCAAACATTGAATGACATATTTCAGATATTTTTAGATAAAATCAACATTTCATCTTTGACGTAAAGCACATGTAGTACTTGTGCACATACGTGTGCGAAGTTGTCATGTTAGCATCTGCAGTAGAACTTTGCATCGTCAAGACGAATTATTCATTTTTTTCTTTTCGCTTAATTTTCTTTTAAAAACAACACCTCTAATGTCGTTGACAGATTTTCTACTCCATTGCGTTTGCCACCATACAAGGTATAAACCAGTCGCTCTGCTTCCTTTGGAAGACTGTTCCTTTTTGGAAAACAGTTTAATAAATAACGAACAGCGAAATCACACATGAACGAATGCGTAATGTCCTCAACTGATTCTGTTCCAACGGGTACCAACGAAACCCACTTGCTAGAGAAGAGAGTGAGGCGAGTGGCAAGGCAAAAATGTATTTTCAAGTTAAGATCCAAGCTAAATTTTAAATATACATTATACTCATATTACTCTAAAAACGAGTTACGTTTTTCAATTACATGCGTGTTTGTTCGAAATTTAGAGGCGAGTATTAAAACTGATTTGACGGTTTGCTTGTTTCACTAGAAAGTGATGTCTTGTGGGGTCATCAGTTCTACTTCATGTTTCTGAAGGTTCTGGCATGCATAGTTCAGTTTTTTGTTTTTGAAACAAAGTAATATCGAAGATTCAAATATTCCTAAAGAACTTAACATGATAATCAGTTTTCCTTCAATTTTTTTAAAAAGTTGTTTATTTTATTGATATGTTTATTTTTATTGTAACGAATTCCCAAATAAACGACAAGTATAAATGTCATTAGAAGTGATACATTTCGGAGAAGTAAACGGCTGTGACAATTTCGTAACATTACCACTGATTCTCCCCATCCCAGACATTATGGTACTTTATGAAACGGTTTGAATGACCTAACAATGTATTTGTCGCCTTGTCATTGATTTTTATTCCGGTTGATAAGATGGCCATTTCACCGACACATCATCTTCACCTATCCCTAATAAAAATCGTAAGGGAGACATTACATCAGATGCCACCTTCACCAACCTCAAGGGGCAAGAACTATTGATTTTGCGTCGTATGAAAATGAGGGTGATGTAACTCTAAGAGACATTAAAATAGTTCTCAAGTTCATGGCATCATTAAAAAAGTCTCATCTTGTTTGTTTATCTGTCGAATAAGCAGGCTTAAGATGAAACAATTAATATATAACTTATTCTGTACATAATAGTTAAACTTTTATTTCATTGATTCAACATGCATCACGTTTCTAATGTGTGACAGAACTGGTCACATGCGTCTTGGGCGGACTTTGCTTGCTCTATCTGCGTGATATGAAGTAGTGCTAACATTGATTGGTTGCGTACAAGTTACTTATCGGCCGAAAAGGCGAAAGTAGTCCGTTTTTCTGAAAATTATTTTGTGAATGACGATTTCGAAAGTGATATGATAGGTCCTTGATCTATGATTCACAGAACTCAAATATTTATTCCGTCTGAACTGATACCGGGTTTTTAAGGGAATGAGGCAATCATGCCGATGTTTTCAAAATGCTACTAAAAATGTTGTGATTAGGAAATCATTACGTAGAAGAAATGCCTTAAATATGTTACGGTCTCTGAAGGAGATGAACTTGGATAGTTCTGAAAGACGTTTGACTAATGATTTCGGGCACAAAAAGTCTTCAGAGAGGCGAATTGAAAATGTTGAATGCATAACAATTAATTTCCGAGAAAATTTTGTTCGTGTGATCGAGAAAAATAACACTAGAAAATACCAACGTATTGATGATTTCTGAACGTGGTGTTTATTGTATAATGTGAAACACCGCGTGAATTATCAAAACATAGCCATGATCGAGAATAATATTTACACATCTGCAAACACTTTCACGTGAAGTTATTTCTTCAAAAATTTATTCTGCCTAAATTTCTAAAATTGAAACGAGAGAGCAACGACTTCCTGGGATATCCCGTCAGGCTTTCCCAAGCGGGGTTCCGGGGTTGTGTCGCGTCGGTCCAAGAGTGAACCGCCGGAACAACTCGTTCGGGGTTATCCACAGAGGGGGGCGGGGGGGGGACTATGACGGCTAGAGCCGGGCACGAACGACCGCGCCTTGGGACTGACGCAACGCTTATGGGCGGAGCGCGGAGGCGGGTGTCGTTTTGATGGCAGAGGCGATGGAGGTGCGAGGTTGGTGGCGGTGGCGTTGCGCGCGTGGCGAAAGCTTAGCGCACCTGCACGATGGCGATGGTGATCGGCGCAAAGGTTGGGGGAGTGATGTCGGTCAGAGGCTGTAGGAATTGGTAGCGATGGCGTGCTGGAGGCGTGGGTGGCCGATAATGGAGACGCAAGGCCGAGGCGGAGGCGCAGGCGGATACAGATTCGGAGACGAAGGGGCAGGCGAAGACACAGATGAAGGCGGTGGCGGAGGCGTTGGAGGAGGCGGTGGCGGAAGTTAAGAAGTTAGTGGTGGTGGTGGTGGTGGTGGTGGTGGTAGAAGTAGCGATGGCAGAGGAGGAGGGGAAGGCGCCAGCGGAAGAAGAGGCAGGTTGTGGGCGGTGGAGGCGGGAGCGGAAAGAGATCCAGCCCCTCGTGTATTACTGGTGCGCCCCACAGTTATTTAATTAACTCGCTGTTAGGTTCTATAACTATTAACCTCTACGTAGTATTCTCATGCAAGATTTGCAAGATACATAATACATTCTGATAACAATATCCTCCCCCATTAAGCTTGGCAGTATGTGATGTTTTTCTTACATACATCATCCATAAGGAACATAAGTTACGTGCTTGTGTTGGTCCAAGAATTTGCCGTCCCTAGATAAACATTCTGTTAAAATTGCCGTCGTCTTTGAACATCCCGTATGTGTTCTTGTTCATACATGTTTCTCCAAAACCCATTATCCAAGTTACATTTCGCTCATGAAACTGAAAGATCACCATCTTTCTATTGTGAAAACTATGCTCGTAGGATCGTCTATGTCACAATGTGTCGAAGTTACTCAAGGTGTCGTATTCATTGGCATCAAATTCTTCGGTTTGGTATGTACGATTGAAATCTTTTATCGTTTGTAGTTCATATTATTTGCAGCCTAATGCATTTTTCTCAGGATTTAAGGTCGAAGAATAGAAACAACCATATTCTGGAAAACTAAATATTTGAGGGAAGCACTTCTGCAATTTGATTCTAATTTAGATAAACATCAGGAAATCCAATTCCGTGTCTTGATAACTTCCGATTTTACAGTAGATATTCCAAATGAAAGTTTGGATGAGATGAATCTCCTTGTGATGAATGTTTGCACAAGGACATGTACCCGAGACGCAATGATTGGTCTATTACTATGATATAACATACTATTAGATAATGCGATCAAATATTGCTGTCGTGATATTGCGTCACATCCTCAATGCAATTTTGCACTTTTCTGATTGATAATCGCAAATGCAAGAACAGCTTTACTCCACATTATCACTTAAATTCTACGCGCTTCCATTCCACATTTCAAAATAGAGAACATACTGGCAGATTTAACAAGAATCACAATTAATTCCTGAGGCAACAATGCTGCGAAGGAAAGAATGAACATGAAAGTAAAAAAGTATAAAAAAGTCAACGAATTAACAATACAGAATATTAAAAACTAAACTAATTAAAAATAAAAATCTTATAAAATTAAAAAAAAAATAACGCTGATAAAAGCGTCAACAAAGGCGATTCAGGTAGTATTCTTAAGCTTAGTTATTTTGCTACTGGAAAAAACTTTATCAATAGGAATTTCTGGAACGTTTCAAAGTTGTCTGCTGCAAAGGTCTCTATATGATAAAACTTTAAATTGCTACCACTTGATGGCATTGCTACGTGGGTAATGAGACCCCCACAGCATATTACATTTTTGACAGAATTACCCCAACAGATATCCAAAATTTAAAATTTGAAAATGAACTATTTTTGCATGTAAATAATTATTTCTTTGTCAGAAACTTTATCTGAGCTTCATAAATTGAGAACAATGGACAGCCACAGTATGTATTCGTCATCAGAAATTTCATTGAAGTAAATTCATTGCTCTATCAACCAGAGTTGTTAGGCATTACTCTCTCTCTTATATTCACACTTGATTTTACTACTTTAGCGAATATATATTTTTCATAAAGACGCAATACGCGAGAAACACTCACATATATCCACAAAACGAACAAGTGGCCATGAATTAGATTATAATTATCACTTTACATGCGTCATGGAACCGAGATTCTGAGGTTGATGGTCTAGCGGAAACGACGAAATCAGTGTACGGCACTGAACTATGGAACTCATAATTCAAGCTTTTTATTCACAGCGCAAATCCGGTTTGGTTCTAGAGTGTCTCTGCATCGGCAATAATGAGTTCGTAAATAAAGACACTGGTTTAATTTGACTTATTATACCAAGGTGCTTCAGAGTATTAAATTCACTTCTCTACGTTATCGCAATGATACAAATGCAGTAATAACCAGGAGAAACTTTGTAAACCTAGCATTATTAAGCATTCATATTTACAAATTGAACTTAATTATGTCATTTTTTGTTATTGATAGGCTTTGGGATAAAATATACATTAAATAAAGATCCGTGACGTGGTCATGTGTGTACATACACATACATCTGATACTAACTATAATTAGTTGCATTGTGAGAAATATATTCTCCCAAGCAAGAAAACAAATTTAAATTAAAAAGTTACGAAAACTCTCTAGAAAATATTTTTAGAAAAATTTCCACAATTTATGCACTTCTTTTTAATACTTTAGTTTTCTTTTCTTAATTTACGATTCGAGAAGTGAGTGAGATTATTTTGAACGTAATAACTTCGTCTCGAAAAGTAGCCTTTTTAACGATCAGTTTAAGGATGTAGACTAACTGAATCGCCTTTGCTTAGACGAATTGCTTAAACCCGTCCCAATACCAATCAACTTTTATTCCGTAGGTTTTTTTCACGTTGAGAGTAACTACGCGCCTTCCAACACTGGAAGAAGCTTCTTGAGAGGTAGGCACATATAACCCCTGCGACGGAACCTCTGCCCGACAGACCCCTTCCCGTCCACCTGCCCCTCGTCCGAGATGCCGTTTTCGCAACCGCACTTGCCAGCACCGGGAGAAGATTCTATGACGACTGTCTTCGCGGGCGACGCCCACGACGTACAGGATGGAGTCACTTGATGGACGGTGCCACTTGCCGCCGTCAAGTCCGTAGCCTCGTACCCTTGAGCCGCTACACCGTACTCCGACTGCGGGTTCTTGGAAACGACCGCACCGTGGCTTGTGACGGCATAGCCCGGTGGTGAAGGGTAACCAGAACCTTCAGACCCGTACGTGCTTTCTGAGCTGTACGTAGACGCCCCTGAAGTACCATAGCTTGAATTTCCTTTTGAACTCGGTGGGTGTGTAGAGCTTGTGATGTAGCCTTGGCCTGCGTAGTTGTTCCCTGAAATGTAGCTTCCTTTCCCGGAGTAGTCCCCATAGTAGGTGTTGCTTGATTCGTACCCTGTACTAGGCTCATAACCACTCCCTGAAGTACCGTAAGTTCCTCCTACGCCGTAAGTTGCTGCAGTGCTGTCACCATAAATACCATCCTTCTTAGTATATGTTTTGTGACCAGAGCTATACCCACTTTCAATTGCATTTCCGTCCAAACCATACCCGCTTGCATATTTACCGCTGACATACTTTGTCTCCGTTTTCTTGATGATCTTTTTACTAGAACCATACCCACTGTCAACAACACCGTATCCTTTCCCGGATACGTACGTTGAATCGCTGCCCTTACTGTAGCCTGTAGATTTTCCCTTATAAGTTAGAGAGTCGTATGTGGCGTCCTTCCCATATCCGCTGTCCATAACTTGTGTACCGTAACTTGTGTCGGTATCGACCCCGTAACTGCTGACTTGCCCTTTTTTGTTTTTTGAAGAATACTGTTGATCGATCAGATACGCACTTCCTGTTCCGCTTCCAGACGGGTAGCTTTCGAGATCATGACTACCAGACACCTGACCTTCTGTTTCTTTTGTGCCTGAAACGTACCTACTCCCCGTGACACCGTATCCACTGTACCCTTTCTTGACCTTCTTAGAGTCGTGCTTGGTGCTTGCTGCATATCCACTGACTACGTTGTAGCTGTCTCCCGACCCGTAAACGGCAGAGCCGCTGTAGTCGGTGGCGTAGCCTTTCATAGTTTTAATGTCTGTTTTCTTCTTCTTGTTATAACTGTTGTTATCGTTCAAGGAATATGTCGTTTCACCGTAAATTGGTACATATCCTGGACCTGTCGGAGGTATATATGCCGTTTCAGTGTTGTCGAGTATTGGGATATAACTACTTCCGCTAGGACCGTATACGGTATCTGTTGTATACTTCTTACTAGTTGTATAACCCGTACCATATCCTTTTGGGGGTTGTTGTTTTGAAGTTTTATATCCTGAAGATTCAGATACGTACTTGCCTCCATTCATAATCCCGTAATCAGTCCCTGTTTTGTAACCTGTTTCTGTTGTTTGGTACCCTGAACCAGATCCCTTTACGAGCCCATATTTTATCGGCGTAGCTTCATACCAAGTGGAATGGATATCTCCACCTTTTAAATGTTTCAAATTGTAGGTACTATCTTCGACCGTTTTATCGTCCTTTAGCGGGATGTCACCTATCCTACGCACGTAACCTTTGGTTGCTTTCAGAAGTTGGGCATCGTACACGTATTCCGAGGAATGTGTTGGCCCGTAAGATATATCTGCGTACCCCTTCTTCAGTTTGCCGTATTCCTTGCCTCCTTTAGAACCTTTATGAGAAGGAGTTGACGTGTATGATGTTGGAGTATTGTACATCGTACCGGGGCTGTAGGTTGTCACCTTTTCTTTGTAATCTACTTTATCTGCAGGTACTACCAGTCCGTGATAACCATCCGTCACTTGCATGCCACTGGTCTCGGTTGTTTCGTATCCAGTTCCGTGCGTTATTTTTTCTTGTTCTTTCTCATAGTCTTTGATAATTTTCTTTATCGGCACGACTAGATCATTACTATACAACGAACCTTTCTGAAGACCGTGATAATCAGATTTTTCCTCATAAGATCCTACTCCCTCGTACGATAAGTCTGCTTCGTACTTGGACCCCCCTGTTCGCGTCTCTCCAAGAATGTTGTAACCACTAGCTAACTTGAAACCGTACGAACTTTTCTTGCTTGGCTTCACATATTCTGAAGTAGAAGTACCATATTGGTGACTCTTATCTCCTCCATAGGTTACTTTTTCGACAATGTAGGATCCCTTTTTCCCACCCCCAACCTCTGGAATCTGCGCGTAATCTGAACCTTGGGGTGGAACAGACAAGTATCCAGGACGAGAGGGCAAATATGAAGAGTCCTTAGATGGAGTGGGAAAGTATTCAGAAGAAGATGGCAAATATGAAGAGTCTTTAGACGGAGCGGGAAAGTATCCAGAAGGATACGGCAAATAAGAATTGTCCTTGGATTGAGTGGGAAAGTATCCTGGAGGTGAGGTCATATACCCAGTGCCCTTGGGTCGGACAGGAAGATACCCGTGGGTTGATGGCCCTTCGGGAGAAATGGTAACGTATCCTGGGGGACTAAACACGTAACCAGGTTTCTTGGGTGGGACAGGCAAGCACCCTGGTTCGTTTGTTACAACAGGTCCATACCCAGGAGATGAGTGTATATATTGAGTTTCCTTGGACATGTAATCAGAAGACGGAAAATACGCAGACGATTCTTCTGTGACCTTAGTGATCGTGTAAGATCCCTTATCGGTTTGGTAAGACGCCGCTGGGGCTACGTACGACGTTACAATTTTACTATCTGATGAAATAGCCTGAGAGTCAGAGTATCCCGCCCCTGACCCTCCAACGTACGAAGTCTTACCCTTGCCAGTGTGATATTGCGTGCTTACTTCTGCAGGTTTCTCCCCATATCCCGGCGCACTCCGGACGGTAGTTTCTTTGGTGACGGTATACCCTCCGGTGGGAGAGTACGTTTTAGTGGTAACGGTATATGTCCCTGGAGGGTCAGATTGATAAGACGATTCCGAATTACTTCCGTAACCCGAAGCGGAGGTCTCGCTATGAGAGTACCCAGTGTTTGAACCCGCACCGTCTGCCGCGTCCTGCTCTTTATATTCCGAGCTCCTTGATGAAGGCCTGTACGAACCGCTATCAAACGTCGTCACGGTAGAAGCTACGGTGCTTCCTTCGCCTGTCGTGTCTGCGGTTTCCGCCTCTTCGGTTTTGACCACTTCGTGATTCACTGTCTCGTCTTTCGCGGAGCCGTCGGAACCTCCGATGGCGCTGTCGTCCGCACCCTCATCCACTTGATCGCCCGCAGGCGTGTACGAGGCTTTATCGCCTGTCGACGTAGCCTCAAGACCGTGCTCCGTGGCCGCGGGGGCGGGGTAGGGCTCCAGGGCGGGCCCGCCCTCCTCGTTCGGCGCTTTCTCGCCTCCGCCGTCCTCATCCCCGTCCTCACCGCCGTCCCCGCCCGGGGCGGAGCTGCGCTTGCGCAGTGCGAACTCCCGCGCATCATCCCCGCCGTGGCCGTCCGCGTGCACGGGTGAGTTCGTGTCCCGGTCGAGCAGCCTCTCCGCTTCGAGGACTGTGGGGCTCCTGGGTGCCTCCCCGCCAACGAACGTAACGATCTCAACCGGGGCCTTTCGAGCGTTCACGTTCTCTTTTGCCACAAACGTTCCCTCATCTTCTTGCGTCGCCCCGTGTAATCGCGACTCCGCGTCATGCCCCTCCTGTACCACTCCTATCGCTCCGTTGCCCTCATTAATTTTATGCTGCATTGTCACGACCTGTGTGTTTTTACTTTCTAATTGTTTCGCGATCGTGCCTTCGTTCTCAGCTACGGACTTTACTTGTTTCTCTACTGTCTCGGAGCTACCTTCATCAATATTTTTTATGTAGTCGGTGCCTTTCTTATTACTATCTACCTCTTTATTCGTCATCGTTTCGGCCTCGTCACTCTCCTGCACTTCTTCTCCTTCATTGTACCGCTTCTCTGTTTCGACATTTGCTTTATCGTCTACCTCTACCCCCTCATCTTTCAACGTTTTAGTGACAGAAGCGTCGGTAATTTTCGAAACAGTTTCTACAGTACTACTACTTTCACTATTAACTATTTTGGTGCGCTCTGTACTGGAAGTTTCATCTACTACTTCAGTGTCAATACTGTCATTTTCCAATGATACTACCGACATGTCATGGCTTTCGTGAGTAATTTTTACAATATCTTTCGACTCAACTTCCTCAACACGCTTTTCGCCATTGTGTTGGGATATCTCCACGCGCTCTACCTTCCGTTCCTCGAAGCCATCTGTCTCTTCTTCGCGTTTTGCGTGAGCGGCCGCCTGGCGTTCACTAGCGGCCGACGAAGGGCGACCGCTTTTGCCCAAGGCGTGGACCACATCTCGGAAGCTCTCTCGGAGCGTGACGTCTTCCGTGGCGGTGGAGCGGTGGGCGCGGTTGGGGAAGGCGGTGGCCTCGGGGAGGGGGGACCGCCGCACGCGGGGATGACCGGGGTGGGGGGCGTGGCCGGAGTCGTACCTCGCGTGGTGTCTGCAGATGACGCGGTCGCAGGGCGCGTCGGGGTCGCTGTCGGGGCAGTCGTGCGCCGGAATGACCATGCGGTCCACGGCCGCCGTGAGGCCGCACAGCCTGTCCTGGCGGTGCTTGACGGGCCGCTCCACGTCGAACTCTTCGTTGTGCAGCGTCACTGGCGGGGGCGCCGGCGGCGCGTGCACGGAGTAGGGCAGATCGCGCCTGCACACAGCAAACAGCTTGTTAGACAACTCAGTCCGAAGAGGCAGTGGGAGGTAATATTAATTATTTTCTTTACACGCCAGGATTACAAAACGTGCTTAAGATGACGATAGGGACGCGCATTGGCATCTTAACACACTAAACATATCTACAAATGTATGCCAGTTCTGTGAGAATTAGTATTGGGATATTGGATAAAAGATCAAACAATATATTACAAACGTCTTAAATGAAATGTTTAAAATCGTATGTGGGAATGACAAAGAGGGTAGGTTGAACAATAAGGAAGTTAAAACACGTTCAAGAATTTACAATTTCAATGGCTAATAGAGAATAGTAAGCACTTAAAAGCCCACGTTGAAAGAATGAATGGGACGAGAATATCCTAGTTTCTTCTTTTTAATTTCAATGCAAAACGAAATATTGAAACATCGAAAGACAATACATGGAACATTGACGTGAAACAAATATAAATAAAATTACATCAATCCACATTCCAATAATTGAGTAATGTCTAAATAAGACCAAGAAAAGTGAGAAAGTAAATAGAACTGCAATGTGTGGCTTAGACAAAATAATTAAGCTGTAAATCCGAAATTCGGATTCCGCGATTGATGTATAACATTTTGAATTCATTCCAAGCAAAACGTTCAACGTATTTTACTTCTCCAAAACTCCTTATGGTTTAACTTGTCTTATTTCACTAGTTTCACTACTGTTTACATATTTCTATTCTGTTAATCATGTGCACTCCGTAGCTGTTCAATTTATCTATAAGCTTCAAGTTTTTATAAAACCTCTCCCATTTGATACGCCAAGTTAACGCTGTGGTTCCAACCTTCGGCCTCCGCGATTGATGTGTAACGTCTAGAGTCCATTTGATGCAAACTTTTCAACGTATTGTACGCCACAAAAAGCTTAAAACGTTAATTGTTTAATAGCGCAAGCCAATCACTGCTAAACGATTTTAATTCGTTTCGCTTTAGCATTTCCAAGTCAACGGTGGGTCTCCGAGCTTCGGCCTCCGCCATTGATATATAACAACTTCAGACCAATGCAAAATTTCTAATGTATTGTACATCCAAAAATGCTTAAAACTTCATTTCACTCGCGCAAATACTTCTTAATTATTTCCATACTAGTAATCGTGCATTGTCCGCAAATGTTCCGTTTATCTATATGCTTTAGCTGTCCCTCAAATATAAATACCCTCTTGTCCGAGGCAGTGTACTCACGTGACGCAGGGCGCCTTTTGCTCCACGGGGCGCTGCACGTCGAAAGCGAAGTTCTGCAGGCGCACGGGAGGCGGCTCGGGCACCCGGTGCACGGCGAACGCGTAGTCACGCGTGCGGCACGGCTCGGGCTCGGGCGTGCGCTCCACGTCGAACCTACAACGAGCGACACGGACACTCGTGAGCGACTCCCTCGCGCCACTCTCGCACGCGCCTGCGAGCACAGCATTGGTTCGAATGAGGAACTCTAGCGATTTAGTGTAACATCTCTCCAGAACTAAAATAAAAATGGTCTTGCGTGCATAGACCTCTGAAACGACTAATTTTGACATAAATTAAAAGAGGATTCAAAGTAATAGTTTAATTGCGGCGTCAGTGCTGTTGTTAATATCAGTAACCCCTGACTGTAGCACCCAAGTGTACATTTGTAGCACAATGGTCTAGCTGATGGGAATAAAAGGGCCCAAACTGTGAAAATAGATTAACGTACAAGTTCATTTTTGGAGGATTCTCGTTCGAAAACTACCTTTATTACATTGCCGATGTAGAAGAAGCCTCCCCAGGTATGTATATCTACAAAATGCTTAATAGTGTGATCTCCGTAATTTCTGGATGGTAATGTATGGCGTTACTTACTCGAAGTTCTTTAGCTGGATAGGGGCAGGCTCCGGCAGGGTGTGCACTTCGTAGCCGTACTCCCCTCGGACGACAGGACGTGCAGGCTCTGGCACTTCCACGTGGTAGGGCAACGGCTACAGGAAGAAGCGGCAAAGATATTACATAATGCTTGGGTCTAGCGAAGTTCCTGTCCAAAAATCTCACTTCTCGCATCCTATACTAAGGATGAATGATTTTGGTCCTATTCCATAGAATAGCTAGTAATGGTAGAATTAATTAATGATGCTGAAGAAATAAAAGAATGAGATGTGAGGGGTTATCAAAGAGAGAATGAGAAAGAGAGATGAAGATAAGTAAAGGGGGAAAGAGATGAAAAGGAAGTGGAGAAAGAATAATAAGACGAAGTATAAGAAGAAGAGGGAAAAGAGGAATGAGAGGAGTACAAATCAGAAATAAATAGGAAGAAATGTAAGAGAAAGAAGAAAATAATAGGCCAGAGAAAAATAAGAGAAAAGGGAAAATAGAAAGAATGAAAAAGAGAAGTGGAGCGTGGGAGCAGGGGTGGGCGCGCTTATTCACCTCCTTGCAGACGCAGGCCTGGCCGTAACGCACGACCTCGACGGGGCGGCTTGGGCCGTCGTCCGCCAGGCGGTAGTCGCAGTCGCGGTCGCACGCAGGGCCCTCGCCGTCGTGCTCGTGGGGCGAGGCGGGCGCCGCGCCGGCGTGCGAGTCGAACAGCTCCTCCAGCGACCCCTCCTCCTCCTCCACCCCTCCCGCCTGCCACGCACACAATTCAATTCAATTCATTTCAATTCAATTGTTCAATTCAATTCAATGGGTCAATTCAATTTTACGAAGCGACACTCAGGCCAGCAGGACTTCTCTTCCAATTGCCCACGCAAATTTAACTACGATGCTTTCACTCGGGCGACGAAACAGTCGATTTGAATTTACTTCAGAAGCTTCTTTTAGGATCTTTTACAAGCAGTAAATCTACAACATGGACCAACCGGCATTACTTCCTCTCCCAAGGAAGGCGTATGAAGTATTTTTTCGCCCTTAAAAATCCTAATAGAACCCGCAAACTATCCAGATACGCTAATCAGTACACAACGAAACCGCAAGGATACGCCGTTTCTGGCGTGCTTTCATTTGTGAACTGTGGGACGCATTGTGAGAACGAATGAAAAAGAAGAACTTGAACCAATTAAAAATGTTTATTAACAAAACTACCGGATTTTTCCTTTAATGTACTCTACCCTACACGCATTTTGTTTTTCATTTAGTTGAAAAATACGTTTCCTCTGTGATTGTGGACGTTGTACGCTTCTGAGAATATAAGCAATATTAGCATTCAAGCAATATGTAGTATTTCAGTGATCATATTGTCCCTCACATGTAACAAGCAAGTATCCAAGAACAGGAACGTATTTAGATATAGCGAATAGGAACTTCAAAAACAAATATCATGCAGGAATATCAGGTAAAATACAGATTCTAGGGCATAACTCGATTTTAAAGGCAAAGATGTTATAACGTATAGTTTAAATAATATATGTTCAATTAGTTTAAAATTATTTTCACAGTTTTTTCTTCTGATTGTCAAATATATTTTTATTATTAACAAAGAATATAAATGAAACACTTAATAAATTATTTATTGTGTACGTGCATCTTCTATTATCTTGCATCCAGAAGACAATGATGTTGTCGTTTCAGCATTTACTGGTAATTGAATCGTACGATATCTATCTTTTTTGTTTTATTTGTTACTTTAATAGTTTAATTTGAGTTTATTAATGTATTATTTGGGAAATGGTCTTACTAAATACCACTCATTCCCGTGTAACTACTTATGACAGTTGAGATTCGCAAAATGCATTCTTCCACCAGACACGTAAGTATAGTGTCGATTATGTCTGAGTCCAAGTTAAGGATAGATTACACTAGTGATTTAGTTTGTTTCGACCACTAAAATTACATTGTACGAAATTATATAAATAAAGTCAAAAAGCTTTTGATAAAGTATATTTATTTTCATTTCGCATTAAACTTAACTCAGAATGTATTGACTTTTTAAAAATCCAATTTAATAACAATATTTTTAAATAAAAGTTCTTAAGTGTACTTTTATTAAATTTTAGCTACGTAAATAGTTTTTATGTGAACTCAAGTATGTAGAATGATAAAAATAATAGTGTACCATCATTCCAACAGAATTTAGCCAATGTTCGTAAAATAAATATGAGTGTCTAAATATACTAATATGACTGAATTTGTTTCTATAAAACACAATTAATGGATAATCTATAGTATAACACTCTAGTAATACCATACATTTAGTATTACTTTTCACTTACCGCGTATGATGGAAGGTCAATAATTCTCTGTCTTTGTATGCATGTTGATGTTGCTCCCTGCAAGAAAATAGCAGTCGTTAAAATTCATTCTAGAAAAAATAGGATGCGTTATACTCCGTGGAAGCAAATAATTAGTCTTAATACATTAAAAATTATAACACTTTCTCTCATTCTATTTAGTAGAATGATAAATTTTATATTTCGAATAAGAATGTTTGTTTCACTTTGAAACAAAACTTTGGACCTTCACAAAGTGGCAGAAATTACCTAAGGTAAATGTTTTTTTATTATTGGTGAAAGAATTCCACATGTATCCACATGGTCAGATATACATATGTATAAATTATTCTCATCTTTCGTTGCCCTTCTTCCTAAGGACTGTATTCGTCACGGCATGGATTCAGTGGCTTATCTCACGAATGTGGCTTTACCAATAATGGTGATATTTTACTGTTTTTCAGATACATGGGGTAGGATCTTTCTGGACTGTTTCAATCTCATTTCTTGACTTTAACTTTGCTGCTAAGAACTTAATTCTCTGCCAGTTTTGGAGAATATCATTGCAAGCCCTTCAAGAAACAACTTTTATTTGCTAGAAATCATTTTTGATTTGCTGAAATATGTAGTAACCCTATATTTCAATGTATGGTTATTTCTTCTTTATCCCATTTTAATCCAGCACATTTTGTCTGAGGTTTTGAAGAGATCACTCCCCGCTTCATAATTTGCCAGAATTGTTCTCTACTTCCTGCGGTTGAATGATGTTGCTCTCCAATCCTATGCATCGCAAATTGTATATCACTCAATATTTCCATCATCCCTTCCTGCACACCAGTTTAATAAATACCACTGCTACCAGAAATATTTTCTCGGCCAACATTCATAAATATTTTGTGAGTGCATGAGAATGAAACGCTAAAATTTACCGATTTGTAAGAATTAAGAGTAATTTTGCCTTTGACCGTCATTATTTCTTCATTGAGGAAATTATCCCATACAAAGTCCTAGAGGTTTAGCTCATTGGTGCGTTTTTAGTGACGCCACTCCGGGTTTGATTCCGGTCGGGCAAGATTATAGTGTGTTTTCCTGGCAATGTCCCAGTAAGTCACAACTTATTAAAAATTCAAATGAACATTGAATAATTAATTACAATAACTTTTCACAATCATTTAAATCTATTTATCAAACTAGGTAAATTAAGAATTTGTTAGACATTCGGGAAAGAGATTCTTCATGTCTGGCAACTTATTCATAAAATAAATGGTCGCTAATTAACTCAGCCATTTCTACAGAGACCTAAATTAAGTTTAAAAAAATCTCTAATTGTCACGTACAAAGGGTAAAAAGAAGGGACACAAAATATTTACGAAAATAAAATGTTTGTCTCGGAAGGCTATGTGGCCCTTTTTAAAATGTTCACAACGTCCTCCCTCTGCGCACGCCTACGCTCGAATGCCAAGCACAAAGAAGTTTGGCCCAACGCGTGATGAAAAGCTAGTCCGGCACACCGAGATTTCGCTCGTTCCTCCCAGCACCATTTTACGTCACGAACCATGTGACCACAACACGAGCACTTCGTTGGAACGTCAGACCTGACGCTGGCCGCTGGGAGAGCGAGAAGTGTTGAAAAACTTTTTGAAAGTGGCATAAAGTGACAGTTTTCAACAGTGACCAACCAAAAATATCATGATGAAAATGTAATTGGAAATAAATGTGCAATATTTTTTTTAAATGCTTCATTTATCTGTTTCAATGACTTGTAACAAGGTGATCATTTTCGTATCTGGTTGAATTTAAAATTCCTGCTAATACTTTGGCGCAAAGTAGTGCATGAAGCTCATTGGCTAAAGCCGGATTGGCTGCGCAATAGCTAACACTTGTCTTTTCATCATGGGTCCAACGTGCAGTAGTGCTAAAAAACGCATCGACTTTCTCACAATTGTAATTTGCAATATATTTCTAAAAATACATCACGTGATTTGCCAAACCTCGAGCGAAGGTAATGGAATCAGAATCATATAATAAATATAAAATATATGATTACCTATTTTTACTAATAATTATATAAAAAGTTTGAGATCAGATTGAATTATAAAATACCGAATTCCCATTTTCTTTAGGTGATGCGGCGTTTGATCCCTTGTGCGGTGTGCGGTGCGCGAGGCGAGAGCGGCCTCTGGGCGGGGTCTCACCTGCACGAGCAGCAGGAGCAGCGCCGCGGCCGCCGCGCGGGCGGCGGGGGCGGGGCGTGGGTGGTGCATGTCGGCTCTGCTGCCCCTCGCCCCCGCGCGTCGCTTTATAGCCCCTGCACCCCCGCCCCCGCCCCCGCCCTCGCCGCGCGGCCTTCGTCGCCCCCGCGCCGCACGCTTCCGCCCACGCTGCACTCCCACCTCGCGGCCCTACGGGCGCCCCCGAGGCCCCAACCACAACACATAACAACCTTTGCTCAGGTGCAGTAAATTGTGTGCTTACGTTGGAGAAATACGGACCACACAAGTTGTGTTCTTCATTCCTTTTAGTTTTTCATGTTCGTAGAAGAAACAATGTTACCTTTGCAAAGCTGGAAAAATGATCTCGAGGTTAGGTTAGGTTAGGTTAGGATAATTAATATTCAGGTCTGTGCTGATAAATTTTGGACGAGGACTGCTGACAACTCCGTTCCTGTGTTTTGCGCATAGGAATGGAAGATACGTTTTCAATCTACTCGTGTAGAAAATTTAAATATTTTCGAGTTCACAGTACACTCGTATACTCACAGACTCAATTTGTTGGTAGAATTCAGGTACATCCGTTTATAGCAAAACAATTTTGCGGAATTAATCAAAATACCGCCGAAAAACTTGTGAATTTTTTTATTAAGATACAGATGAGAACAATTGTTCTTTGTGAAGTTATTCAGTACCCTGGTCATTATCAATGAATCTAATAATTACACATTTGAAGATACATTTCTGTATTAATAGGTGCTCTAAAAAGTTGTTTATAATAAAAAATGTCATACATTTGTTCGGTTAAAATATTTTATCTTCTGCGTAAATGAATAAGGAAGTGGGAAACAGTTGGCGATATACAGTAAGTTTATTTATTTTAAATTTAGCTTACAAATAGGAAGTTCTAAATGTAGAATGAAATTTTACTTTTCCTACAAACCTAGATTCAGTGTAAAGACAATATAGGTAGTAAACAATGTTATTGCACATCATGTCAGTACACATCAACCGTAACATTTGAATAATAAATTGCCATAGATTGCACCAACAGAAGCATGCTTCGTTCGATCTCACAACACCGAGATCTCGTAGTACATCGTGATGTTATACAGTACTGTTGAGCTCAAATCTCAACATATACTCTAAGAACAACTTCCGGTCGCCCTCCTTCTTCATCTAATTGCTTATTGTTCCAGAGAAATATAAAAATCTGCTCCTTGCGAATAAGAAACAAAACATAATATTCATTAGCGTTTTACTGAACTTTTCGATGTCCTGAGTGGTTTTCCTGACAGCTAGTTTTGAGTATCTAATGTTCTAGTCCATTGCTACTCCATTGGACCGCTCACTTGGCTTACCATGGCTCAGCACTGATCAGCGAGGAACCGGTAAGGTACGCTGTCTGTTGTGACAGCCGTCTCTAAGGAAGGCATGCGGGGGGAATCGGCTCTAGTTCATTGAACGCAACTGCAGCAGATTACCGTGGGTAGTATGGAACTAATTTTTGCATTTGGGAATCTCTGTTCTAGTGTCCCAAGTCAATCGCTCGAATTGAATAAAAGGTTCAACAGGTTTATACCTCATAAGTAGAAGAAATAAAATTCCTATTTAAATACTTTCTTAAAATCGTAGAAGAGCATCGTAGAATGACTAGCAGTACAGTAAATAAGTTTATATTTATACACATTGTTAAACAAGGGAAAAATATCTTCTTTAAAATGCAGCTTGAAAAGTGTTTTGAAGGTGTTTTGCCCAAGTGAAGTGTGAAGGTGTTTTGAAAAGTGACCGATATGTAATAAAATATCTCATGACAAGTAGAAAAGTAGAGGCATATAGTTTTAATAAACGTTTGTATTCATTATAAATAAAAACAAAAGTAAATATGTTCGTTTTCTAGCAACATTTCTATTCGTGGAACTAATTACTCAAAATTAAAAATATGAACGAAAATAAACAGCTGTTTTAATACTTTAAAAATATCCTCGTGCTTTATTTAGGCATCATTTCTTTACGAAGTGGACACAATTCTGGCGGGTTTGGGGGTATATTTTGAACAATTCTTTATTCACCTCATGTTTAAGCCAATCAATTAATTTTACTCACTTTTTCAGGACTTCGCCTTTCAAACCTCACCAGAAAATTATCAACGAGATTTAAATTGGGGCATTCAAATAGAGGCTGCAGTAACTTTGGTATATTCGAAATCAACTATGACCTTGTTAACTGCGCTTCATATTTGGGACCATTATCCTGTTACAATCAATAGATGGTGTGTATATTTTTTAGGCACTCTGCTTTACATTTTTCTTTAGTATTCTGAAATACGACTTTTATATCCACAATTCCATCAATAAAATGTACCTTACTCACACCTTCGGTTGACATAGACCTCCTTATCATAATAATGCCCCCTCCGTACTTCACAGACTGAAGTGTGGACAAATTATTGTATTTGCTCTCATCCTGGCCCGACATATCCAACCACTGATCCTTTGGTATCCAAGATGAATTTATTTTTGAACCTTTTTTTATTTATTTTCTGACAATGTACTTCACAGTGGAATGCCTTATAGTCATTCCGTTCCCTATTTGTCTCAGAGAATATCCTCTTAAGCGCAAAATATTTATTTTTCACTATCAATTCTGTCACGTAGGTAGACAGCTATTTCTGCTTGCTTGTTTCGATGTCGACTGTTATTAAGGAAAGTATATTCTGTTCTTACCTCACCCCAGGAAACCGGGAGAAGAAGAGTAGCTTAATGTTGGCCCTCAAAAAGTTTCAAAATCCTTCCACTACACGAATATTAAAGTTTTGAGGAAAGGATATGATTGTCTTTCAATATTAACTGAGTATGGTATTCTCACACATTTTCGCAGTATTTATTTATTGATATTTATCATGAATAGGTTAATTAACTGCATGTGTGTAGAAGGAAAAAGTATAATTATTTTTTTAACATAGAATATATGGTGATATTGTATGATTTAGATGAATTAATAGATGTTTTATATACGTACGTAAAATCATACGAATTAAACAGCACGCATGATTACATAGGTTGACAACAACCAACATTCAAATTTAAAAATAAATGTCTAATATTTTTTTTGTTTTTACGGGCGTAAAATTCATGAAAGACCCTGCGTTTCTGAATGTTTGTTCGTGCGCTTCATTCCATACATAGAGACGCGCGAGAGAAAAGCCGCGCCTTCGCCAAGGCCGAGACCTTGCGGGCGCAGCTGTTGTGTGCTGCGCTTGCTGCGCGGAAGCCCCTCGCGCCTGCGCATTCCGCCTGCCCTCCCTATGTCGGTGCGCGCGCGCCGCTGACTGCGCAAATTTCTGCTGCCCGTCGAGTGCTGGAGCACACCGCATCGCTTCCGTGTTTAACGTTTCGGCCGTAACACCTTTTGAAATACGTACGGTTTTGTGTAATTTTGACATTTTTTTCTCAAAAGAACTGAACCGTCTGGGGTGGCTCAGAGCATCAATTGATGTCACTGCAGTGCCTCTGACTGGGATGTCCTCGGATTTGAGTCCCGACAGTAGAAGGATTTTAGTAACTAGCTAGAAAGCTGGGTCAAATATAGCTGCTGTAAAGAGGAAAATTGTAGCAGCCGGCTGCTCTGAAATCCTTAAATTCTACGATCAACTCTAGGCGATTGCCGGAGCAGTACCCTAAGAAAAGGGCCAAGGACCGCGCTCGAATTTTCCTTCCGTTTCCTTCTCCTATCCTCACACTTACACTTGCATGCACTGCACCACCAGACATGAAGGGAATCAGTCTGGAGTTTTGAGCTTGTACAAGCTAGGTCGGTGTCCCACTGATGGGAGATTCCCAGCTGAGGAACCCACAAAACGACTTGTCGGATCTCGCCACACAGCTAGGGAAGATCGCCACCACTTCACGCGATAGAAATGGGACTAATACCCTTAGCAGTTTTCGCCTCCGGAATCACTAATCAATCAATCAAAAGAACCGGCCCCGATGATACGTTGGTTACTCCGGCTCTTTGGCTTACTAAACCATCATTCGGGGATCGATCCGGGTGCAGTAAGCTTTCGAAGAGCGGAATGTCGTCAGTGTGCTGTGTCACTTGTGGGTGTGAATGAATCCTGTCTGAATACCTGTTAAATCAATCCGAAGCTAAATCCTTCGATAATTCTTGACATTGACAAACTGGAACTTTTGGAAGGTATTTTATATGAAGCCTTAATTATATTTTCGACATTTTCTCAAAAATGGCTCAAATGTTTGCATTAAACCTTGCCCTCAGATAGCGTAAAGAACGCTTGAGAGAATGTTGGAGGACTCAATTTCGTTAAAATCCTTGATTTTTCGAAATATGCGAAAAAAGTTTCATATTTTATAAAGGGACATATTTTTCGGCATCTTCCTACAACTGCAATTTTGAAGAGACAGATTTTTTCTTAATGACATCTGTACTTCTCAGACAGATCTTGAAATAAAATCATGTACAAGTTTTTGAAAATTTGAGTAGTGTTCGCGTAATTTTCCACAAAATATAGGTATTTTTCTCAAAAACATCTCCCATTTGTTTCCTTAAATTTTCTCTTCGTACAACGGCAAGTAAAGTGGCTCTAGTCCAATGTGTGATGAACTCTGAATATTTGAAAATTACAAAAAGCTAGCATTGCAAAACTACAAATATGAAGATAGAGATTTTTGTCTTAAAATCTGTTTTAAAAATCAAATATTTAAAAAAGTTTATATACAAGTTTTTTAAAAAAACAATAGTTTTTGCTTAACTTGTGCTTGAAATTAACGTAAGTTTATAAAAACAAATTTTCCCAAAAGCCCTTTCAAAAACTTAATTTTTTTCACGGATAAAACAGGAACGCTTTAAAGAACGGTGCAAGTCTCATTTTCGTTGAACTTTCTAATTATTCAAAAATTGCATTAGAAAATAATGGGAAAGTTAATTAAGTTGTAAGTTTTGACCCAAGGGAGTACGACAGAGCGACTGTGTGATTTAGCGGCAAAGTGCACGGCGATTTAATACGATAGACATGAGATAAAGTCTCGCCAACG